AGTATGTTTTTTTTTTCTGTGCTTGTAGATAATTGGATTAGATTAGTACAGTTCCTGATTAAATTATTTCCAAGGCAGAGGGGAGAGATTGTGTGTGTGTGTGTGTATATGGGAGTGTCATGCATTTAACCATTGTTGTTATTGATCTGTGAGTTGGTGCTGCAGTTCCGAACAAGGCAAAGGTGGGAGTGCCCCTTGCATAGAACTTGGATATAAGGCCAGTGGTGGCTGCCATTAAACAGAATGCTTTACCCCTTCATGAATTCTTGGCTCATGTTTGGGGGATTGGAGAACTACATACACTCTGGGGATTGCTATATCCCTGAGTATAATCACTAGCTCTTATAAGAGCTGTTCCTGCTACGCTCTCTGGACTAGGAGAGGCCTACCCACTGGAAGCTGGATCCTGGTCTTGGGTCCAGGGTGGGTGGAGGACGGCGAGACCCCAACCAAGCTGAGGCGGTTCGTGGGTTTTATGGTGGTTATGGTGTCCCAGTGCAGTGCTTATGGTACTTGCAAGTACTAGGAAGCAGCGATTGACCTAGGTACCCGGTCAGGATGCCTGGCTGTCCATCACAGACTGTATTTAGTAGAGGGGCACACCCTCTAACAATGAAATCAGTATTATGTACTGACATAAACTGTAAAATAAACAAAAACTGACAGGGAATAAAAGGGGATAAAGTAGGTACACAGACATCCCAAGTCTATACCATACAAAACAAAACCAGCGTCACCACTATCAGATAAAAAACTACATAAATACATATACAGTAAGAAAAGAAAGAAATCAATTAAGTAAATAGGTTACATATATAGAAGACAAGCCAACAAAGTGTAGACACACAATATTCTGACCTGATTTGTGATGGAGCAGCAAAGAAAGAGGAAGTGACTCAGTGGAAGGCGTATTTTATACTCTCTGCCTGTCTCTGATTGGTTCCCTTTTTTCTCTATATGTCTTTGCTGCTATGGAGTAGTAAGGGATGATTATGCAAAATATGAAGCCTCCTGTCATGTGATAAAATTCAGAGTATAGAAAGGTGATGTTCCATATAATTACTAGGCTTGTGCATTTGTGTTCTTAAAAATGACAGTATTCTTTTATGTCAAAAAAAGAATACAAAGCCGCCATTGACAGAATGACAAAATGGCTCACAGGCCGAAGTCATTTGGTCATTCCGGTGGCTGCTTGCTGTTTAGCGGAAATGCCCCAACTGACATCATGGCAAGGTATGGGGACTCAGTGATCAGTTTTCTGTCCATTTTTTAAAAAAAATTAAAAAATATATTCAACCCAGTAATCTGTCCACCCCCTGATCTTTAAAGGAACATGTATTCCTGACACTATAGTGCTGAAGTGGCTGTTTAGGTGATTGGCTCCCTCTCTGTAGAGATTAAAAGTGTTTTTACTTGCCATTTCTCCCACATCTCACTGGTCTCACCACGGCTGGCCTCTCCTCCATGACTAAGGTAAATCGTGATGATCTTAACCAATCGAATGCTTTCCCATAGGAAACTATTGGGAGGCTATTGCGCATGTGCGGCAAAACCGAGCACTACACCAATCAGCATCTACTCATAGAGAAGCACCTCTAGTGGCTGTAAGAGTGACTGCACCTAGAGGTAGCCAGCAATGTAAATGGTCAGGGTTTAGACACCCGAACCAGAGCTCTCTAATTAGGTAGTTTAGGCAGCCACCTATGTCCTTGCGCAGTCTGGGCCTCGCGGCTGCCTAAACCACCTTAGGGCAGACTGTGTCAGATCCTCGATCAGTGACCGAGTACTCGACACCAGGACCTCCGTGTGGTCTGCCTGGGAGGAAAGTGCCCGTGGCCTGCTGGTCTGCAACTCCGCAGTGTGCAGTCAGTCTGTGCGTGTGTGTGTATGGGTCAGTCTGTGTGTGTAGAGGTCTTTCTGTGTGTGTTGGTCAGTCTCTGTGTGTATGGGTCAGTCTGTGTATATGGGTCAATCTGTTTGTGTGTATGGGTCAGTCTGTGTGGAGGGGTCAGTCTGTGTGGGGGGGTCAGTTTGTGTGTGTGTGTATTAGTCAGTCTGTGTGTGGGGGCAGTCTGTGTGTGTATGGGTCAGTCTGTGTGGAGGGGTCAGTCTGTGTGTGGGGGGGTTAGTCTGTGTCTGTGTGTGGGGGGGCAATCTGTGTGTGTATGGGTCAGTCTGTTTGTGGGGGGGCAGTCTCTGTGTGTGTGTGTGGGTCAGTCTGGGGGGCAGTCTGTGTGTGTATTGGTCAGTCTGGGTGTGTATGTATGGGTCAGTCTGTGTGTGGGGGGCAGTCAGTGTGTGTATGGGTCAGTGTGTATTGGTCAGTCTGTGTGTGTCAGTCTTTGGGTTTGTATGGGTCAGTCTGTGTAAGTGCCTCACTCCAAGAGAGATACCTCACATCTCATTACCTCCCCTGTACCCGATGGATAGGCAGCCTTCCCAACCACCACAGATCTGATTGTGCCACCCTCTCCCTGCAAGGTAAAATCAGGGAAAGAGGGACATATTTTTTTAAAAACTATTATTAAAGTAAAAATTGTAAAGCCCTTACCTATCCCACTCTCTACACACTCCTGAACATATTCACCCTCAAAGACAGTGAACCCCCCACATACAGTACACTCCCACCCACAGAGAGTACACCTTTGCATCCACACACAGTGCACCCCTCACACACCTAATCCCACACACCATCTCTTCACCAACATACACAGTTCATCCCCACATACATTCACCCCCACACACATCTCATATATGTAAAGGCTTGCCTGGAGTTGAGGGAGGGGCGTGGTGATCCTATTTAAACTCACCCCCCTTTACCTGCATCACCGTGAATTCTGACGTTCGGCAGGCCCCACCCACCACTCCCTCAATTCTATTTAATTTTATTTTAAATTTTTTTATCTCGGGTGGGCCCTCTTTATTACAGGCCTCCCACATACGTCGGTTTCAGCACACTTCAACCGACTTGTTCATACCTATGATTTACACCATACTATACATACGTTCACGTTACAAGAATAGCACGAACACAAAGATAAAAATATATATATACACACAAATACACACTACAGCTCCTTGATAAGCACACATTACAACCCCAATACACCTACTCTCACACTGCAGCTCCTAGATGCACACGCATACACTTTACAGGTCCTTTCAGCACACACACTCTCAAAAGCTCTTATACATGAGCACGTGCTCACACTACAGCCCCTAGTTACACATAGTACCCCATAAACAGACTCCTATATACACACTTCACCACAGCCCCTTCTAAACACCATGGAAAATGATCTTGCATTTCCTGAAAAGGTTTTCCAGTTTTCATGAAAAGGTGTTTTGCCTGTGATAAGGAAGGCACAGGGGTGAAACTACAGGCAGTGCTGGTGTTGTGGTAACACTAGGACCCATCGAGTGGCTTGTGCACTTAGGGCCACCCGATGGGCATGTGTCTTCAGAGCCCAAAAATGTTTTGCACCAGGGCCCACTCTACGTTAGTTCCGCTACTGTGCAGCAGCTTCACCGGTACACAAGCTCTGCCGCTGCATGGAAGATCGTCTCCCTGTACACAAGCTCTGCCCTCACATGGAAGCTCCACCTCCACTCTCTAGCAGAGCACCTTGCTGCAGGAAGAAGCCTGAAAATGGCCTCCCAGTTCTCCCACAGCCACAGCCTCCAGTGCCAGGTAGGCTTCCAATACTTAGCATGACAGAGTGATCTTGTATGTGTATGTGCCTGCTAGTGATTGAGCTTGTGTGTGTCAGTGAGCTTATCTGTAGTGAGCTTGTGTGTGTTTCAGTAAACTTGTCTGTAGTAAGCATGTGTGTGTGTGTCAGTGAGCTTGTCTGTAGTGAACTTGAGTGCGTCAGTGAGCTTGTCTGTAGTGAGCATGTGTGTCAGTGAGCTTGTCTGTAGTGAACATGTGTCAGTAAGCTTGTCTGTAGTGAGCATGTGTGTCAGTGAGCTTATCTATAGTGAGCATGTGTGTCAGTAAGGTTGTCTGTAGTGAACATGTGTGTTAGTGAGCTTGTCTGTAGTGAGCTTGTGTGTGCATCAGTGAGATTGTCTGTAGTGAGCTTGTGTGTGTGTCAGTGAACTTGTCTGTAGTGAGCTTGTATGTGTCAGTGAGCTTGTCTGTAGTGAGTGTGTGAGTATCAGTGAGCTTGTTCACTCCGCACTCCCCGCAGCAGCCAGCTTCAATGTTTCCTGAGTGGCTTAGTAAAGGGCTGACAAATCCCATCGCCATCCCCCCCATAAATATGAATCCTGGAGACGCCACTGCACATAATATAACTGCAAATACACATACAGCCTTTCAATAAATATTTACCTCATATCAAATGAAAAATAAACATAGGGAAATAATTTCCAGGTGCACGCCCTAATGAAATATTCTAATGACTAATGTATGTAATGACTAATGTATTTCAAAGTAACAGGTTTATAAGAGACACAACTTCAAACATATATCTCCTGTTCTGTGTTTTCTACATTAAGGATAAGGCATCCTCTCACTCTGAGATGGGTGGAATAACATTTAATCATCATGTAAGATGTTGGAAAACACGTACTGATTAGCCACTTGACATGCTGACCCAGGATTCATTGCATGAAATTAAGCTTGGTTAATTGTTAAGCTCACTAGGAGAGATATGTCTGTTAATAACTGTAAGTCAACCCAATGTTTAAAAAACACTGCTAGATAATGAATGTCAATTTCTATATGATGTTGTGATAATTTAAACATGAACACATACCAAAATGAAAATTGGAGGTTGCAAAAACAAAACGTATAGAAAAATTGAAATACTGAAAAGTAGGTATCAATAACTGTTAATAAATCATAAATTTAAAATGTCCAAAGCTTGCCCAATCCTGAACCCTAACCTACCACAATCTGCTCCGCAGAACCGGGGGATACCCCACAAGCCCAGAACATCCGCCGGAATGATCGAGCTGAGACCTGGGGCCTACGGCAGGCAGGACAGGGAGAGATGGCCGCTCTGCCGGCCCACAAACACATGCAGCACCTGCAACACAATGCTGCCCCCCCACCCCCCAAACACCAAACAGCCTCGACCAGCATACCTCTGTGGACCTTAAACACAGAAACCAGCCCCAACCACACACCATGCATGCAGGCAGCCCCCCACACAAAATGGCGGACGGAGGAGGAGGAGGGCCACCGGAATACAACCCCAGCACAAGCGACTCACTCACCATCCGCCTGAACGACCTGTTTAAAGCCTTCTGGGCACGAATCACGGCCCCGCACGCGGCGGAGCAGCAGCAGAAGCAGGAGACCTGGAGCATGGGGGGTCGACATGGCGGCGCCGACCAGAGAGGGACTGGGCCACCCTCGGGCAAAGCCTTAGTAAAGCAGCTCACAAATCTGCACGCTAGCCCATCTGGGCCGACGGCCATCAGGGGAACAACCCCAGTGCATCACCCACGCAGTTGGAGACCTGCCTGCTGAAGGGGGTGCAACACCAACACCAAGGCCTTCAGATCTGTCCCGATAGGGAAGGACCCGGACCCCAGAGGTACCCGAGTCCATGTCCACAGGATGCCGGCCTGCTACAGGCCCGGAGCTGGAGGGCTCAACTGGTCAATTCCCGACGGACCGCCTACCAACGGGAATCCCCATTGCCGCAGACACAGTTCCCACCCGAAGGAATGGGGTGACTACACAGCAAGCGGGCGGCCAGCCCCATGATCATTACTGAACGCTGGTATAAGCTGCAGCTTATACTAGCACTACATAACACCCTTGCCTGATCCCTCAGTAAAAGTGAACAAACACACTCACATAATACCCACGGAGGTACATTTATCATTTATCATGGATGTACATGTTTCAAACGTAAATATTCAAACCTACACACACGCATGTTTTCCTACTACTGCAATTTAATTTCTTCTCTATGTGACATAATGGAAGTTTAAGCCTGCTTCTGAACCATTAATATACAACATTTTCCATATCACTGTCTCATCAGTATGTCAGTACACCTGACTACCTCTAAGCCTGCTAATAATATAAAATTGTGCATGTTGTGGAAATAAGGTCTACACATATTTCCTAGTTAGTGAAAAATGTCTATTTACTCATTTCACAATATATATATATATAGCTAAGCACACACGTTATAATTAAGATGGCTGCTAGAAGCTTCTAGCTCCTTTTCCCCCCCCTTCCCTTTCTCCTTCCTAACATTGACTAACTACCTCGTGCACCAAGATGGCGCTGGGAAACCGTGGGAGACCCTCATGGCCCCGGTGACATCACCTACAGTAGGCAGAGCATTGAAGCAACCACTTAACACCTAACCAATAATTGATGTATTATTCCATGTTATCTCTGACAATGCTTATGATGTAATTTTGCTTTAAAAGGGACTTGCCGTCCCCTCTGAATAAACTTTTCCTCAAGTTATTCAACAACCTGGAACCTGTGTCTGGTGTGAATTACTTCAGGGAGCGTGCACGCATTGTTTCATTGATTTGGCCAGGGGCAGATACACAAAGAAATAATCAATACTTTAATTGATTTTTCCATTTCAATTGGCGCCCAACGTGGGGCCACCGGAGGGCCGGTTCGGAGGGCCGGAACCAACGGACCGGAGCGGACCTCTGGAAAGTGGGACAAGCGGAGCCTGATCACCTCCATAATACAGCCGTTGCCTGTGTTATTCTCCTGTTTTGTGTCGGTCTGCCTCCGAGTCCACTTCCGGCTTCCAGAAGGCTACTAGAGACAGGTAATTAACTCATCCGGTGTGCCTTTTTAAGGTGAACCTGTCAATTGTCTATCTGCCTCCTGTATTCGTTTGTATGTGTGGGTGCGTGTTTCTCATACTTCTTTTAAGTTATTTTGACTGTCTAGCGGGCAGGGGACACATTACAGCCGGTGGGGCTGGGATTTTAAGTTTGCTTGACTGCCTAGCGGGCAGGGGACGCATTACAGCCGGTGGGGCTGGGACTTTACAGCCGGTGGGGCTGGGACTTTACAGCCGGTGGGGCTGGGATTTTACAGCCGGTGGGGCTGGGACTTTACAGCCGGTGGGGCTGGGATTTTACAGCCGGTGGGGCTGGGACTTTACAGCCGGTGGGGCTGGGATTTTAAGTTAGCTTGACTGCCTAGCGGGCAGGGAATGTATTACAGCCGGTGGGGCTGGGATTTTGTTTGTTTATTACTGTGCTCCCATTAATACCTGGGTTATACCGGGACCTGCCTGGTGGGTGGAGGCTGAGGATTGTTATACTTCGATTATTTGGCACCGGTGTCATTAACATGTACATGGCCATTTTACTCTCTGTTATTCTGTGGTTTTTGTTCAATTGTTGTTACAGCGTGGGTACCCTTGGTGTGTGTGTGTGTATTGTGTGGTTAGTTCTGGACTCCGGAGTTTATGCTCATTTATATGTTTGTGATTTTTGCAAATGTCTTCTCATTAGTGCAGCCACGTTCATCTTTTCTTTTGTGCTTTATCTCTCCTGTGCCTGTTGCCCAGAGCTGTGTTAGTCGCCCACGCTCATTCGCTCCCGTCCGTGACCACCACCCCGGGTGGGCGGATCTCCGTGACTAGTCTACGTTTGGGGAAGACGCACGGGGCTCAAGTTCTCGTGGCAGTCGAGCACTGTAGACACTCTTTTTCCCCTACTTCCTTATACCTCCTCTATTCATCTGTCCTTAACAAGTGGCACGCTTTGATTAGTCAAGATGGGGCAGGAACATGCTAGACCTGCTAAGGGCTTGTTGGCTTGCGACATTGTGAAAGAAAGAGCAGGGGAGGATGCAATGATGAAACTTAAAAAGATTGCTAAGGTGTATGGCTTCCAGATGCTGCCCAGTGGGAGATTGCAGCCAGAATTTTGGAGAAAGCTACTCATAGACAAGGAAGGTTTACTGTTGGATAACGGACTCACAAAGGTTGCAGAGGCCTGGTATCGTGTAGCTAGAGGTCTGAAACGGGAAGGTTGGGTCGAGGAAGAGTTGGAGTTTGAGGGGCAGATTGTACATGTTTACCATAGGAATGTTCACAATGATGATGTTGTTTCTATTGTTCCACGGCCACCACCCTATGATGGCGCCCAGAGCGCAACAGTAACTTCCCGCCCTGCCTCCCCCATCACAGCACAGACCCCACCCCCCGGGGGTGTGTCTCCAGCCCCCACCCCCCTATGTCCCGTGCTCGGTGTAGATGGAGCTTACTATTTCCCAGTGCCACACCACTCGTTCCCACCCACTCCCATGCACCAACCCTCCTGTGACCAAACCCCCTTTTCCAGCCATCATCCTGTTTCGCCCGTCGGAGCTCCCCCACCTCCATGCCCCCTGTTACCTTTCCCAGGGCCTGTCCTTACTCCGAGTACTGCCCCGACTATTCCCGTCTCAACGATCGAAGTCCCGTCCTCCTCCTCCTCTCGATCCCTCTCCCCTCTGAGTACCCCGTCACTGGTAAACCCCGTTCCCTCACCCTCTTCGTCCATCCTACGTCCTACGCCCCCCGCTCCTACCCACTCAACCAACCCCGTCTCCCCGGACCCCTGTCCCCCGGTTGACTTCCCTTCTCCAGTATCTTCAGGAATCCCCGTGACCCCTATCCCTGTATCCCCATCTTCCCCCATTCCTTCTCATCCCCTCTCCTCCTCCTCCGTTTCCAAGGATCCCCCGCCCCTACTCTCCACTCTCATGAATCTTGTCCAGCCCGCTAGTCCCGGTTCCCTTGCCTCCGCCCCCTTACCCACTGATTCCCCTCCCATCCTCAAGGTCTCTCCTACTGCTCCTCCTCCAGTGTTACCTCCTCCTGAAACCCCGGCCCCCTCTACCTCGTTGCCTCCCACTCCCGCGGCCGATTTGCCGTCCCTGATCTCCGCCCTCACCGCCCTAACCCAACCCTATGCCGTCACCCCTCCAGCTCCTCCTCCAGTGTTACCTCCTCCTGAAACCCCGGCCCCCTTTACCTCGTTGCCTCCCACTCCCGCGGCCGATTTGCCGTCCCTGATCTCCGCCCTCACCGCCCTAACCCAACCCTATGCCGCCACCCCTCCAGCCCCTTTTCCCGTGTTATCTCCCCCCGACATCCCTGCTTCCCCGACCTTATCACAGCCCCTTGACCCCGTCCCTCTGACCCCTTCCCCCGTGACCTCTGACACACCCATGACCGATGACCTGTCTGGCTCGATATCCGCCCTCTTCACTGCTGTTACTTCCCTGGTTAATTCCGCAATCCCCGTGCCGCCTCCCATTGACGTACCTCCTCTTCCTCCTCCCCCTCCCCCCGAGCCTCCAACCCCACCCTTGTCTCCTGCCGATATCCCCGAGCCCTCCGATCCCATCTCCGCCCTCGCAAATGTCCTCAACACCCACCTTTCACGCCCTACCCAATCGGCCCCCGTGACAGCCCCTTCCACAGCCTTGGTCCCTCATATCCCTTCCGCCGGCCCTAGTTACCCAATCATGGTGGTTGGATCCGAGGTGTCAGGGACATCTGACCAGCCCTATGCGATGGGTGCCTCCCCCCAGGCTTCAGGTTTCCACCCAGCTACCTCACCTGTCACCGCCCTCCCTGTTGTCCCAGCTACATCTACTCCTGAGACTACTCTCCGTCGTGGCCCAGTGCTGCCCGCCGAGGTAGTTGAGGTTGACCTGAATTCACCCCACCTGGGGGTGAATAGGCTCCCCCAACAGCAAACTATCCCTCAGGGATATACCCCAATCAACCATGGTGCGGATGGTGCTCCACCTATGTATGTTACCTTTAACCCTTCCCAAGCTGCTACCCTTGTGACCTCACTCCCTGATCCTGAAAAACACCCCATGCCCTTTTTCCGTAGGATGGCTCAGATCCGAAAAACATATTCCGCTGCTTGGCGGGATCTCATTAGTCTATGTGAAATAAAGGCTGGTGATGCATACTGGCCAATCATGGAACGGAGCTTTAATGATGCTCCACTTACTTCTGATACTGACTTTCGTTCTGGTGAAATTTTTTGTGAACAGCTTCATGCCTGGGCACAGGATAAACTAGCAGATCAGGCTACTTGCATTAATGATATCCTACAGGACAAACTTGAGACAGTTGAGAAGTATCACTCTAGGTTGACTCAGACTTTTTCAGACTTAGGGTTTAGTACTTACAACAAAGCACACACCCAGATGCTGTCTGCAGCTTTTGTGGCAGGGCTTAGGGAAAATATTCGTAAGGGTTTAATTTTAGCTCGCCCGGAG